GTATCGAAGAGAATCGGTGGGCACTGGTAATGGATGGCCGGTCGAGGAGTCTTCAGTGAACCGCTTTGTTCCTTTAGGTAGGAACGCCTGTAGCTGTATGGCATATTCGATCCTGTTCCGGCCTGTTTTTATATGCGCGGACAGGGCTAGCCAGCGATCCATTACCTCACCCCCGCTATACTTTATTTCTCATTTATTTGTTACATACAATATCCCGAGCTTAAATCTTTAGGTACAAACATGGGGCATACAAATTAGCATATTTTTAGCGCATTTGCGCGGCTGAAATCATTATAATTTAGCTGTGGCGCGCGAAAATAGGTCTCCGCGATATTTATACTCGCCCCTCCATGGGCCTCCGCCCGTGGGGTTCGTGCTTAGCGCGTTTCATACAAATCGATTTATCCTATTTTTCAGCATATTTCTATATTTATCGTTCGGAAACCTGTTTATTTATGTAGTTCTATGTCTTATTGACCGAATCCAATAAGTTTCTAGTAGGATTAATCTAATACAATAACTTTATAGCCCTACAAAGTTACAAAAATAAAAGGTTCCTAAAAACCTACTTAATCTTATTTTATACCTAATTATTATTATATCTTATTCTGTTGGGCAAGTCAATACACACAAGATAAAACCTTTATTGTGAAACTTATAAATATAAATAACTTATTATCGAAGAGAATCTATTCCTAACTTTCCGCTTTAATAACATCTAAAATCTTATATTAATCTATATAAAACTTGATTATTTGTATTCCTACAACTATCTTTTATCTATATAAACACAAAGAATATTAATTAAAACACAATAAATGAACAATTCCGAAGGCGGACAAATCATATAAGCATTATCTTTGCCAACTATCGATTTACGAATCGTGCCTCTGCATCACGGCTCGTCGCCATTGCAACCATTTATAGGAATTTCTTACTTTGGATCCTCGTATTATAACAAAGCTATGTCTTCTTCTAATAAAATAACATTAGAATTGTATACAAATGACTTATAACTAACCATTCGATGTAAAATAACACAAGAAATATTTTACGATTGTTCATAATTCAAACTGTTTAGACGTCTCACTGCGCACGTAATGTTCATAACTTGCTATGTCTTGTTATATAGGTCATAAGACGGTCGTCTCGTACACTTAATATTAAGACATTTATTTACATTTAATATGTAAACAGTCTAGGTCAACACCATGTTTCTGAAGTGCAACCGTTTACATTGCTGAAATATCGGGAGTTCACAAAGAGTAAAACACGTGGTAAATATCCCGTTATTATAATATATATTTGATTACATAATGTTAACAAAGTTTTGGTTTGCGAGATTTAAAAAGTAGGGAAATTGATATTTTACCCGACAACCCTCGAATGGCGGACGGCCATTGGCTTGCTTTTATTCACGATTAGATGAGGTTACGTCCGTCTTTCTTTCAGGTCCGTGAGATAGATAATTATGATGAATAAATATTTCTTTTAATTTTATGCAAACATTTGTTTTTCTTTTGTGAGAAATCTTTACCCTTCCTAAGGGCCCCCAAATAAATTTTTATACGGGGCCCTGCCAAGGCACGCCACGCCACTGTCTCTAATTAAGGAATCCTGATGTGTACCAAACTCGCATCCTGAAGCCAGGAGCTTCAAATCAGTTACATACTTGTCAAATGGTTCTCCTTCCTTCTGAGACCTTTTGAAGAATATGAATCTTTGAAATATAGTGTTTATTCAGGGCACACAGTATTCTTAAAAAAAATATATTTTGTCAAGCGTTGGTTTTTCATCTTTTTCATCACAGCAAATGTGTTATTCACATTTAATTTCTTCCCTAAGCAGACTAGAAACATTGCAATTTTTACATCTTTTCCTTTCTTCTCATATACATTGGCAGTAATGATTAACTGGAATTGTTGCGTGAACAATTTCCGATATATGGTCACATCCCCCGAAAAAGACAGTTCTTGAGCAGGTTTGAAATTTATTGTTTGCTCTTACCACAACCTCTTTTGTTGTTCTGTGTCTATACCTGACACCATGTGTAGTTAGTATGCGATTCAAATAGGAATAGGAAAGCCAATGACCACCATCTGTCAAATATAGCTTGAAAAGTACGGTTTGCAAAAAATCTTGGAACACTTTTTTTTAGCACTGAGCTAATCTTAGAATAAATACCAAACAATTTGAAACAAAAAAAGGGAATAAATCATATGAACCGTATAGAAAATAAGTACTGGAAAAGGGAAATATAAGAACTTTAGTTTTAATATAAATACAGGTAATAAAAAGACTGTTTTTATTTTAAATAAACTCGTCGTTTTAAAACCTACAATAATCGATATTTTATAGCCGTAAGCAGCAGTGATGATGATGACGATAATGATGACTACTCCGACGGTAGTGCAGAGATGAGCGGAATTAAAGATTAGATTCTGATTAATGTTTTTTCTCACTCAGTCTTAATAAATAAATATTATTAAATATCTGATATTTTTTCTCACTTAATCTTGGTAAATAGGTTTTATTAAAGAAAAAGTTTTTACTCACTCTACCTGACTGGTTTGAATTGACAGCTTACGTCTCAATATGGCGCCCAGTCGGTCCTTTTCTTAGTTGAATCGCATTTTAAGTCAGAACACTGTTTAAGTAATAATCAATTTAAAAGCACATTTACAAAACCACGCATGCTCCGCCATCTTACTCAATGAAAAAAATAGATAGCTACGCAGAGAGGGACACCAGATACTGCTTGTATTTGATAATCATGTTTACGGGCTCGTAGAAATTTAACTTAGGAAATTATAATATATTTAAAAATATCTTATATACAGCATCTTTATATGTATTATATTAACAACGTCAAAAATAATGATTTGACTACCTACAGCGTCTTAAGGATAGGTAGTAAAAGAAACGACTAGTTTATGTAATATAAAATCTATTGCCACAAATCTTGTAACATAAATAAGTAGTCCACTTACAATAATACTGTATCATAGAAATTATATTATACTTAGGAGTTTTGCTTTACAGCCGCATTACAAGAGTAGTAAGTTCTTTGCTATTACAATTTTTATTATTATTTTATACAAACATTGCCTTATTCCCATTAGAAAAAAAAATCTTTATACATTTTCATAATTTATTTTTGTTAAGTACATAAAATATAAACAATTCTTCTGCCAGATCTTTATTCACATAAAAAAAACATTTTGTGCCATAAGTACCTACATAAAACTGGAATGCAATTTAATGAGTAAATAAAATAACCCATGTGAAATATTAACGAAAATTCATTTCTTCCGTCAATTGGGGACTTGCATTTATATTATAATGGTGTTAAATCTGGTATGATTATCTGAACTTAAAACTAAATTTAACATCAGTCTCTTCTTTTCATTCTGTATAGAGAATGACAAGGATACCCTGTTGTAATTTTAATTTTAGGCTTGAGAGAATCATGCCAGAATCGATATCATTGACAAATATTGATAGTCTCTAAATGTGCATCGTTGAAAGATTTGTTTTCCGATTGTTATTTTTCTGTGAAATATTTTCATTTTCTGCGAAAAAGTTAGTTCTTACATCCTATTTTTTTTAATGTTTCTGTTGGTGGTCGCTGATAGGGTTACCATCCGTCCGGAATTGTCCGGCTAGTCCGGACTTTTTGCCTTCTCTCCGGATTTTTTTAATTAGGAATATGAGTAAAACTACTTATTAAGTCAAAATAATAATCTTTTAAAATCTCATTAATTAAAAAAAAAATATCTTTAAAAATCAACAACGATACCGCGATGCGAGCGTCTGCTACCACGCGTATAATATCACTGTAACTAAGTGAGTGATGTTTGCATTTGAGACTAAAATGTCGGCACTTTTATCGAAATGTCCGGCTTTTGCAAATTTTTTTAATAGTAACCCTAGTCACAGATGATCTTTACAGCGTCACCGGGTTTAGGGACGGCGAGATCCTACAGGGACCTCAAGCCGAGAAATGGCGAGTGCCTCAGAGTTATTCCAGACGGATGGCATCCGCCTACGGGTGGAATCTCCTCTCCGTCTGGATCCTCTAGACCACTCGAACCTGAGGGAGTCGGCTCAACTAGAGGGCGCCTCTGACACTCGGACCTCGGCTCTAGTTAGTCGTTGTCGTGGGGGGGGGGGGGGGGGGGGGTCATACGTCCGAGAGCGCTGCTTAGTTTCATAGAAACATTGACGATGCGAGACGTTGGGGAACTGCAAAAACTCGAGCTTGGGCCTCAGGCCACTTACGACTTGAAATGTCAAATTAAAAGGTATCTGATTGAAGGGGCAGGATTATCAAAAGTGTCGATATTTATTATTTACCGAAATTAAACCTAATTTTAAATACTTCACGATGAAAAATAACTTATAGAGAGAGATCTCAGGGCCACCAGACCTTATTTTCAATTATCAAAATTTTTGACAAAATATGTGTAAGAACCCAGGGCCGTCCGACCTTACTTTTTTTCTGATGGATAAAACTATGTACAGTCGAGTAGCATCAGTGTCTACAATGAACGAATCAAACTCGCTCACTTGTGCCGTAGGCCAATTCTCAGGTATCAGGTGGCACAGGCATGTAAAGAGTTTACTCACTTTACTTACAGTCTGAAGACTGATTCTTTCTTACGTATGTTGCAGAGAATATTGTAAACAATTTGAAATTAATACAGAAGTTGGCAAGTATGTACACGTTCATTGAATACACTTATGCTTACACGTTCATTGAATACACTTATGCTACTCGATTGTACATAATTTTGTCCATCAGAAAATAAGTAAGGTCTGACGGCCCTGGGTACTTGGACTATTAGATATTGATGATAGTTTTGTATAAATTGACGTGCAGTTGACTATGAAAAGAAAATAATAAAATTATATCTATATCATAAACTAGGTTTGATTGCCAAATTGTTGGAAATATGTACAGATTTCAAAAAAATGGTGTTGACACAAACTCGTGATGTGTTGTGATTAGAAAACATTGATTTTTATGAGTATGTTATTTTAACAGTTACGATTTACACACAATAAAATACAATGAATTTACTTATTATGGTAATATTAATTATTAAGGTAAAAAACGTTTTTGTACAACCCTAAGTTAGAGATGAGAAGGCACCGCTAGAGTGAAAAAACATAGAGGTATAAGAATAGATTGGGTAAGGCGGCTCTAAATGTGTCCGTCAAGTAGAATGAGAAAGAAGATGAGAGACCGCTAGCTATCTCTCTCTCTTGTGACGCATGCGCAGTCGTCTGTCCAATAGTTGGTCCAAGCATGACATCGAAATAGTAAGATGCTTACGGTTGCCAATGCGTATGCGCGATTAGAGAGAGAAATCTAGCGGTCTCTCATCTTCTTTCTCTTTTTATTAGAGGCTCACTTCCACTTGTAGTAGAGTCTATATCTCCCCTACTCTATTCTTATACCTCTATGTGAAAAAAGGAAGTAAGTATTGTCTTTTTAGAAACATTACAAGTTACGCAGTTTTTTACATCATTAAAACGTGAAAACATACACTTTGGGCATTCTGTGTTATAATTTATATTGTATAATATTATATATGAAAACATTATCGACAGGATGACAACTGACAGTTGCACTTACACGAATACGCAAAAACATTTTTGTCACAGCAATAATAATAAATTAAAAAGGAATTTAATTGAACACATGCTCATAAATAAGTATAACAGGAAAAAACTATTACATTGCTTATCCAACAATTAACGGTGATATCTACATGTAAATGTGACAGTTAAACATCCATGTCCACAAGATTTATCTTGAAACATATTGCACTTAAATTTATAATGTCATTATAATATACACTAAATTCTATGGAATGGTCGACACTAAAGTTATGGTTAACTACTATTTACTCACTTTTCATAAATGCTAATCATAAGATAGACTAGTGAAAACAGTATCCGGTCACACTAAAATCGGTGCACACTTAAAATATAGACACTGAATTATATTTTTGTATCAACATTAAGACGGATAAGAAAAAACATATGTAGATGCATACAAAGTTATCTCATGTATATTTTACAGGCCTAACCAGATTTTAGGACAAACTAAGGTATTTGTGTACGTTTCTACAATAAAGTCCCTAGCAATATCCAAACATTAAGCGTCAATAAATTTAAAACTACCGTAAAAGAGTTCTTATTAATAAGTATTATGAAGTGTCTGATTATATTTCAGACAAACATGCTTGGATTTAAACTGTTCCGAACATTCCGACAGGCTTTTTCTATAATTATGATGAAGATGAAATGATTTTGTATTGACACCGTAACAATATAATTTTTAGTAAATATTTTTTCATAATTATTTAACGCTGTGAAGTTTTTTTCGCCAGTTTTTCTCCACAGCTGAATAAAATGTCCTTAACTGTTGGTTGGGGAAAAAATATAGACGATTTAAAAGAGTTATATTGTGCATCCAATTTGACTAAAGATATTTTGACTTTTGACTAGCTTTTCTTAGAATTTTATAGTTTTAATACAATGCTTCAAAGTACCTTCTATAATATTTATTACATTTCTTTGGGCCTACTTACGCGGGTATTTAGACATATTTTTTCAATTGTGCTGCCCTAAATATAGGACGATAGGTTTATCTGGTTAAAAAAGAACTGTCAAATGTGAACTGGTGTTACAATTTCAAACCTCATCCCGTCATGTCACAATATTTTTATTTAAAACATTAAACAGCTTATGTGTAAAGCTAAAGATCATTGCCTTTTCTTTAAAGACATCAGCTTTTATTGTCAGCTTAGTTACCAGCTAAAAAAAATATTATTTTTTTCTTACAAAAATGAGATAACTTTGTATTGTGATAAATTGAAAATTAAATAAAACTAGTTTTAACGGGTTAATGCACGAACTTTATTTATTTATTGACGTTTCGCAGCCTCAAAAATTTTCTTTTGAAAATTAAACTCGAGTAATAACATTTTAATTAACAATTATGTACAAATGATTTCATAAAATTTTTGGTTCAGGATTACGATATCAGTACAAACTTGAATAGAATTTTAACTATGCTCCTTTACCTTTTGGACATGTGACTATAGAATAGACATTATTTTTGTACGGTCAATTTCAGTAATGAAACTCCAGTAATATATAGGCTTATTAGAGCTTTGTTGCCTTGATATTTTAGATTATAAAAACAACTGTTGCAAATTAACGGAAACAGATTATCCTTACCTTTTACTGAAGGTTGATTAATGAAATTGGCCGTTATATAATTAAGGTGGGTTACGCAAGTTTACGACCATAGACAATTTTACTATAAGTTTACTTACTTCAGTGCGTGTGTGGTGCACGTAAAGCAGCGGCAACTTCACTCGGTTCGCCCGTGAACTTACACTAAGGTTAGGCGAGTATGTACGGTTTCCTGATCAGGAATTCCGATTCGGAAACCTGATTGTACAAGGTGCAGTGTGTGTATTTTGTTTTTTTTTTCAGAATGGTAAAAAACCTAACGTTCGGTTCGGACGCTAACTAATAAAAAAACCGAAACTGCGCTAGGATCACGGAATTCCGAATCTGGATTTCTGATCAGAGGGCCATTCGCCTAACGGGATTGCTATGGCTATCGCTATGGCTTACGATTTCATTTTGTTATTCCTGACCGCCGAAGGTTTTCGAATGCCCCGCACTCGTATTTTTTCTTTTGTATTGGTAACAACAATAATAAAGACAATGAGCTTAAGGTATTTGAAAACCTTCGGCGGTCAGAAATAACAAAATGAAATCGTAAGCGATAACGTAACTCATAGCAATAGGGTAATTTCCATTTGTTTAAAACTGCTTATATTTAAATATTGGGACAAACAATTAAACAGAAAAATAAAAATAAATTTCGTCTACTTTGAGTAAATAATTTTAACACCTATATGTAGTCTGGGGCGATCTAACTCGATTTCACTTGTTATTTACACAAAGTTGTCGTCACACAGTAGACGTCATCGAACCGAGCGTTTTGGCGGTAAATTTAAAACCATTAAAAATAAATTCAACTTTAATTGGTCTAATGGAGAAAAAAAGACATTAATTAATTTATTTTTCTGTTAAATCGTTTGTCCCAGTCTTAAATTATAAACAGTTTTCAAAATTTTGGAAAACACCCTATTCCGTTAGGCGATTGACCCCCAGGAAACCGTATATGTGCCGCCCAGTCTAACAGGTGCGGTATATGAAGCGATTCCTGTCGCGAGCCTTGGATGAACGCTACGTTGGCTCATCGGATGACATCAACGCTTCTGATTGTTCATCTAGTTCGGATATGTTTCTTATGGCCCTGGGAATTAGAGTTAGGATGAAACTCGATATTAGATTTGAACAAATAATTCACGTTTTTGTTGTTAATTATTTTGTACTTATGTTTTTAATTTTTTAAGCATTTAACTGCTAGATGTTTAAATCTAAAGAAAAGTTTACTAGAAAATATTCCACGCGGACCAGGCAGGACTCGAACCCGCACCCTTCGCTATCCGGGCGAATGCACTGACCATTATGCTACCGCGGCCCTGACAGCCGTGTCGAAAGCCTAAGGCTAGGAAAAATTCGGCATAACTATAATTGCTATTTCTTCCTTCAAATGTTTAATACTTGTAAAAGTATTCATTTCACATTGTGGGTACCTACAATGCGAAGAGATGGCGCTGCCTTGCAGCCTACGACTAGCAAAAATTCGACACGGATTCGTCAGGGCCGCTGTAGCATATTATGTATTTTTCCGCTTAATAAAATCAATATTACCGATAAATATTTTAAGACGGTAGCTTAGCTAATTATACTCTTTTTAGGGACAACCTATTACTGAGGAACCTAAGCTTTCTGTCATCGGTCGGATTGTATAAATCACTGTAAGTAACGACTCGAAAATTAGTGAGAATGAATTTTTCAAATAATTGGTCCCGGCTGAATCTATTGTTGTTAGTACCCTCCAATCCGCACTGGGCCCGCGTGGTGGGACACAGCCTAATTTCCCTATTCCATCCATAGGGAAAGCCTGTGCCCTAGACTGATGATGACTTTACACTTTGACAAGTTCACCGGACGCGTTCCGAATCGCTCTCCGCACTTTAAAGTTCAATATTTCGCGGACTTTCTGATGAGTGTATTTCAGAACCAAGAAACTTGACACACTTACGCGATTGTTACCATGTACCTTGTTTTTTATGGGTCTCCGATATAACCAAACACAAATTTTAATCGTGAGGATGGGTTTAAATTGTCGTGTCTTGAATTTAGTGCAAAAACAGCAAAAATCAAAAAGTGTCGTTCCGCGATCTGATACTGTGAGTGTTGTGCGTCGGGAACAGGTGCGAGTGAATAGTGAGAATGTGACCAGTGGTAGGGGCACTGAACGCAATAAAAGATGACGTCAGAGGGTAGACCGATATGTCGGCCAATAACATCTACCCGTAATTACTTCAGTTACTCCGTGATCATGGCGCTTGCAACAGTGCCGAAATATCTGAGACTCATAAAAAACAAGATACATGGTAACAATCACGTAAGTGTGTCAAGTTTCTTGGTTTTGAAATACACTCATCAAAAAGTCTGCGAAATATTGAACTTTAAAGTGCGAAGAGCGTTTCGGAATGCACCCGGTAAACTTGTCAAAGTGTAGTCGTCATCATCAATCTAGCTAGGGCACAGGCCTTCCCTATGGATGGAATATAAAAACAGTTATTTTTAATGATTAATAAAAATATCGATCGTTTTAAGATACGTCACCAGTTCGAGGATCATTAAAATTAAATGTTTTTACAAAAAGTTAAAACTTCATGCAAATATTTTAAGAATATTAGAGATGACTCTTTATATGATGTCCTTCAACGCCCTTCAAGCTTTATTTGTATTTTTGTAACACCCTGTATATAGTGTTAGTGACCATGAAAGTTTAAAACAATATACACTTACGTGAATCCCTCGGCGGCGCGCAGCCTGCTAGTGATCCAGGTGATGGGTCGCGCGCTGGCTGGTATGTCAGCGACGGCGGTCACCCATCCCGCGGCTGCCAGAGCGGCGGCGGCACCTCGCCACGCGGAGCCCGCGCCCCTGTACGCTTCCACACACGCCGCTAGTGGTAGCGTCAGCGCTAGCATGCCGCTCGCCGTGCCCGAAGACGTCAGCGACTTACCGCTGCGAGAACAAAGCGCGAATACCGTTATTTTAAGAGACTGTTTTGTAGAGAAATGAGTAGTTCCAGAATTCACCTTGCGCAGTAAGGAGCAATTTCCATCGAAAAACATTCAATGGCAAAATTATAGTATATATGTATTTGTTTCTTAGGTTTTCACGCACATCACTCATTAAATAAAACTAGTTTTTACGGGTTAATGCACGAAACTTTATTTATTTATTGACGTTTCGCAGCCTTTTCAGGCTGCTTCGTCAGAATTATTTTTTATTAAATTTTGTCGAGCTACCTGCGAAACGTCAATAAATAAATGTTTCGTGCATTAACCCGTAAAAACTAGTATATATTTATTTTCACTTTTTTGACATATCCTAAAAATATCTGCGAATAATCGAAAAAACTAACTTTTTGATTGTCCGCCCCCCTCCCGTACACACTGAGGCTCGGTGCATGGATCTGTATGTACGTCAATAAGTGTCACTCCCAGCAGCTACAGTGATACGAAGGCCAACGGGCCAAATGCTGCGTCCAGCAACACCCAGCTCCACAGCTTGGGTCCGCCCCCCTCCCGTACACACTTAAGGCTCGGTGTATGAATCTGTATGTACGCCAATAAGTGTCACTCACAGCAGCTACAGTGATACGAAGGCCAACGGGCCAAATGCTGCGTCCAGCAACACCCAGCTCCACAGCTTGGGTCCGCCCCCCTCCCGTACACACTTAAGGCTCGGTGTATGAATCTGTATGTACGTCAATAAGTGTCACTCACAGCAGCCACAGTGATTCAATGGCCAGCGGGCCGAATGCTGCGTCCAGCAACACCCAGCTCCACAGCTTGGGCGAAGGTAATTCGGCTCGTTCTATTCCTGTCGCGGCTAATACTCCGCCCGCTACCCACGCGAGACAGCCGCAAGCGCAACCCACTAAACCTGGACAACCGATATAATAATTATATGCTTTATTGCTCACAAGAAAGGACACGAGACAAACTAATAAAACAAAAAGTATACAATAGGCGGCCTTATTGCTAAATAGCAATCTCTTCTTCCAGGCAATTGATGGTGGAAAAAGAATAATAATAGAGAAATATAGATATAGGGTGCAAAAGTAGACGCAGGAGATATATACTTACATAAATATAAGAGAATTAAAAAACAGCTAGAATACGAACAAACAAATTTCATGATCGTAAGCATATTAATGTCCCCACATTAATGTGCTGGGGCACTGGCTGTCCCTATGGATGGAATAGGGAGACTGGGCCGTGGCTTACCACGCGGGCCCAGTGCGGATTGGTGGGTGCTTACGACTGCAGATGCAGCCGGGACCAACGGCTTAACGTGTCTTCCGAAGCACGGAGGAGCTCGAGTTAATAAGTTTTGGTCACCCATCTAATGCAACGCAGGCCGAATACACTAACCATATGCGCCATCGAACTCCTAAATGTAAATTCTCTTTAGGTAAAATAATGTAGTACCTCAAGGGCATTTACAGGCATCATGCATGGAGCAGAGTGAAATATTTTCTAATAAAATTCTCTTTAGATACAGAAATGTAGCAGTTTAATGCTTCATAAAAATATATTAAATCACAAGATACCGTAGACAATTGCGCCCGCTTGTGCTAATCTCATGTACCCCCGAACGTAGTTAAAGAGTTTGGTCTTTGGAAGTTAAAAATTTTTGTATTGACCGGTTATACAGAATAGAAGATCAAAAATTCATCATCTCGAGCTCCTCCGTGCTTCGGAAGTCTAACCTGTGTCTTTAGTGGTTAGTCCCCAAAATTCCCAAATTCCCAATCTTCCTATTCCATCCATAGGGAAGGCCTATATGTGTCCCATAAGTGAGGAATAATAATGGACCGCTGATAAAATTATTTCATATGGCTTTGATTTCACATGGCTGTTCATATTTGCTATTACCAAACTTGACAGCAGTCTCTCCTTTTCATTCCCCATAGAGCATGAAAGGGATACACTCTACTCAAATTTACAAATAGCAATTACGACTGCTCATATACATATTTTCCATATATTCACATATTTCCAACACTCACACCAATTAAGCCTAGCCCCAAAGTAAGCACTGTAAGGCTTGTGTTATGGGATACTAGGGTAACGGATAGAAGACATATATTGTACATATATAAGTATATTTATATAGAAATATTCATATTAAACATCCATGACTGGATTACAAATGCTCGTATTCATCACACAAACATCTTCCCCCACCGGGATTCGAACCCGGAACCTCTCGAGTCGGTGTCACCATGAAACCCGCCGTACAAACCACTCGGCCACGGAGGTCGTCTTATATGAAGTACTAGCATCGCACATTAGCACGATTACAACGAGCCTTGAGAGAAAGTTATACACCTCGGCAAAATTCTTGAGCAACGACCATAGACAAGCAAGCCTGCGCAGTAGCATTTTTGCGTACAAAAACGTATACTGCACAAGTTTACTTGTCTGTGGTTTTGCTCTAGAAGTTTGCCGCTACCGATACTACGCATACTCTTTTATCGAGATACCTACACTACAATTAAGCCAGTTTATACAAACACTACTTTTACTACAAAATCTTATATCACTTTTTCGAACGAACTTCAACTTAAATTTATAACGAACAATAGTCCAGGCAACGAAAAGGTATAGAGGGAATTGCTTAGAACACAATTTTTGACTTCGTGACTTTGTTAGGACTAGTTAGGAGGTAAACATATCAAAAGTCCCCGCCCGTAGCCCTTAAGCCGGGGGGAGGGGGCTTGAAGGTCCCATTTTTAGGTTTTTCGCATATATCTCGAAAACTATGCATCCTAGCGACATGAGACTTTTACAAAAGTGAAAGCTGATTAAATTTGCTACAAGTCTTATTCAGTCAAATTTTTTGATATCTTGTATAGTTTTCGAGATATCCGCTCTTGAAAGTCTGTAATTATGGAAAAAAAATTTGTTCCCATTTTTGCTCTATTTGACCGGATAACTCTTCAACAATGCACCCAAAAAATAAATGCCGGCCGTAGGGTTGTAGAGCATTAAATTATCTTCAATAATAGAAACAATTGGCTTTTTTTTTTATTTAAGGACAAAATTGTTCGTGTAGTAGACGTATGGGGGTGGTACGGTGGGCACTAGGCCGCGTACTCAGCCCCCACGCGCGGGCCGTCCTGCGCACGTCTGTGGGGTCCTCGCGATACCCCGGGAGACCCCTGTCGCGGAACCTCGGCAAGGCCGGGAGGCTGCTAGGTGCGGAGACGCGGAAGAATCCCTAAACGGGGATTCCGCGGCTTCGCACTAAGCAGCTTAGAGGGTGTTCGCAGGGTTTTTTAGCGGATATTATGCCGTAAAGCGCCCGTAAGGGTTACGGGGTCCTCAGTGGGCAGCCACTGCTGGGGCTCGTAAGGCTTGCGGGAGCCAGGTGTGAGGTCCATAAGTAAAAAAGAAAGTAAATTAGTGTCATTGAGAAACTGTAATTATCTAATAATAATATCTGTAATAATGATATCCGCTCTTGAAAATCTGTAATTATAGAAAAAAAAATGCTTTACATTTATGCTCTATTTGACCGGATAACTCTCGGATAACTCTTTAACGATGCACCGATGTCTAAATAGCACACATGCTCATTTTAGAATATGTACTTGTTGGCCCACTGACCAGGTTCTTCACACAATCCAGAAAATAAGTTTAAAAAAACTGCAAGAGTTAACTACTTTATGCAAAAAAGGTTATTATAAATTAGATGATTATTTAAATGATAAGATTGTCTGGTGTTGTATTGGTCCAGCTCAACACAAAAAGTAGTATTAAGAATGATTAAAATTATAAAACTGGACTTTAAAAAAAAATGAGACGGTAGGGCCCTGTGCCTCTGGTTTTTTTCCGGTTCTCATTGGCTATACAGGTACGAATACGGCAGCAGTTTTCGATACAATTCACTATGACGTGCAAAAAGAGATTTGTAAAAAAATCCAATATAGTTAATTTCTTGCTCTTTTGGGGTGGGAAGGACCTTGATCCTCGTCTTCGTTTACATTTTCTTTGTCTGTGTCATTTTCTCCATCGGAACCCTGTACGTTCAGAGGATCCTCCTGTTCTTCTTCACCTTCGGAGTCAACTTGAGGGACCCCATTCAAGCAGTTCCCCTGGCAATTTTGGCACGCTGGGGAACAGGAACGCAGGGCACCCCCTTTAGTCAATACGTCTACTACCCTTTTTTTTTATACGCAGGCAAAAAATACTATTTACAGACGACGGCGCCTTTAAGAGGCACACCGCCGAACGGACCTCACACCTGGCTCCCGCAAGCCTTACGAGCCCCAGCAGTGGCTGCCCACTGAGGACCCCGTAACCCTTACGGGCGCTTTACGGCATAATATCCGCTAAAAAACCCTGCGAACACCCTCTAAGCTGCTTAGTGCGAAGCCGCGGAATCCCCGTTTAGGGATTCTTCCGCGTCTCCGCACCTAGCAGCCTCCCGGCCTTGCCGAGGTTCCGCGACAGGGGTCTCCCGGGGTATCGCGAGGACCCCACAGACGTGCGCAGGACGGCCCGCGCGTGGGGGCTGAGTACGCGGCCTAGTGCCCACCGTACCACCCCCATACGTCTACTACACGAACAATTTTGTCCTTAAATAAAAAAAAAAGCCAATTGTTTCTATTATTGAAGATAATTTAATGCTCTACAACCCTACGGCCGGCATTTATTTTTTGGGTGCATTGTTGAAGAGTTATCCGGTCAAATAGAGCAAAAATGGGAACAATTTTTTTTTCCATAATTACAGACTTTCAAGAGCGGATATCTCGAAAACTATACAAGATATCAAAAAATTTGACTGAATAAGACTTGTAGCAAATTTAATCAGCTTTCACTTTTGTGAAAGTCTCATGTCGCTAGGATGCATAGTTTTCGAGATATATGCGAAAAACCTAAAAATGGGACCTTCAAGCCCCCCCCCCCCCCCTCCCCCGCTTTAGGGCTACGGGCGGGGACTTTTGATATGTTTACCTCCTAACTAGTCCTAACAAAGTCACGAAGTCAAAAATTGTGTTCTAAGCAATTTCCTCTATACCTGTTTTTGAGCATTCGTTGCCTGGACTACAATGTTAATAATAATTTTGTATATATTGTAAATATTATGTACCTATACAATATATGTTTAAATGTATTCAATGTATTTTATTTTATTAGTTTAATTAATCACTTCTTTTACATTTTAGTAGCATTCGTGGATTTCTTTATGCCTAAAGGTTAACTGGCAGAGAATGCTTTTAGGGATGAGTCTGCCTTTTATCCATTTTTGTAATTGTGGCAATAAAGTTTAAATAAATAAATAAATCTTTCTTAAAGCTGGTTTTTTTTATATGGAATATTGAAAATGAATCAAGTTTTGATTATGGAAACTCCTTTAAAGTCATCAGATAAAGTCATCTGTAAAAATTAATAGTTTAAAAAAACTAAAAACACGCTTTTATTTACTGCACTAAAAAGCCAAAAATAAACACGCCCCACGATTTTTCAATTACATATAGGATATGTTAAAATAAACTATAAACATGGCTAACTCTAAGGCCCTAATAAAGTAAACAGAGAGCATATTTTGTTTATTTTTGGCTTTTTAGTGCAGTAAATAGAAGCGTGTTTTTAGTTTTTTTTAAACTATTATTTTTTTTACTTTTTTTTCGTTTCAGTCATCAGGAAAAATTAATAGAATATGTTAAGACGAATCTAATGAGCCCAAACTAGATATGTTTACTAGTAGGCAATCCAAGGTTCCATCAGCCACCTTCCCGTCCCATCATCAGACCAGCTCGATGGTACCATAATGTTGTCATCTCATCTACATTTAATTGCCAAGTTTCATGATGATACAAGAATTAGAAGTGGGTGTAATTCAAATTCTTAAGATTTTATTACATAGTTATATACAAGTCGACCTAATAAAACCGTGTTAAAAATCTTACCAACTAGTAATGGTGAATTGATCCCATCCCCTTTCCTTAGCTCTCGTCGAAACAACACAAGGTGTATCGAGTAACATAGCGCTGAGCCAAGTGCTGCCAAAACTGCTGTCCAGTTACTTTGATGACTCTCTGATACGCCTAATACCACCTAGTTGAAATTAAAACTTATTAGGATAGTAATTATCCTATCCTATTAATATTACACATTTGAAAGTTTTTATCATTCATGTTTTTTACCCAATCACGCAAAAACTACTGAAGGGATTTTGTACGTATATAGTTTATGCCCTGGATTGAGACATAGGATAAGTACTTTTTATCTAAGAAAAATGTTAGGTTCCCGTGGGATTCTAAAAATACTAAAGTGAACGCGGACGAAGTCGCGAGCGGTCGCTAGTTATAAATAAGTTCATTAGTTTGTAAGTATACAAAAACGAGAAAAAGACGAGTAAGCACTTAGAAAAACGAGCGAGCCTTACAGTAGTCGCGTATGATGTGTAACATTTGAAACCTCACCTTATATTAGTAAAAAAAGAAATAAAACCTACTACAAAAGGAATAAGCCATTTGAACATTATGTTCCAAAATCAAATCAAATAGCGCGCGCTTTCCAAACTTCTTGTTACACACTTCCGTCCCAGTTTACGTAATCACTCCCACAAATTGCACGAAAGCGGGAGGATAAATGTACACATCAAAAAACGTTAACGCGGACGCAGTAGAATATAAACCAATACTCACCAAACCGGCGGCGGTGAGCAGGACAGCTATACATTTAGACAGAGAGAAGTGATCGTGCGAGGCCTGCGCGAACACTGCGCCGAGCGACATCGCGAACGCACCCGTCGTCGATGTGTACACGCAGGCCGAGCTAGTGTTAGTGTGCAGAAGGCTCAGCCGGTACAAATAGTTGGATATAAACCACTGCAAAGGATATATAAATCACTATCAGTACCAGGGGCATCTTAACCATATGCGGCGCCATTAAAATTAAAAAAAAATTATAAGACCTTTTTCAAAAATTTTGACAAATTAATTCTTCATTGTATAGACAGCTACAAAAATATAGAAGAAATAAATCACATAAATACGCAAGCATACGTATTGTATTATAGTTTGACCGAGTTGACTAGAAAAACGTAAACAACCATTAAAATTGACTGTATGTACTTAAATCGTACGTTTTGATTTTGTTTTTAAACATTTATTAAAAGTAATATTTATAAAATTGTAGTAGGGTAAGGTAAGCAGGTAGGTATTATCTACTACCAGTCATTCAGATGTTAATCGCCTGGCTGTACCCAGCCCTCCTTTGAGAAAGACGCCCCTGATCAGAACTCAATTTTGAAAAATATTGGCGAAGATCAAATTTTATTAAAACGAAGACGACTTTGGCATTTTATTCGTTACAAAAATAATGATTGTTATATGTGCGACTTTCGTTAGTTTTTAACTTCATCGCACTGCTTCTGAAAAAGCGCAGTATGCGACCAACTCGGATCCAAAGCGTTGCGATTTAAACTTTATGGCGTTTGTTGTGAAGCTAGCTTCGAACGCGCGCGACTACGCGCTGGTTTCAGTTCAGTTCAGTTTCAGTGACATATCGTGTGCCCCTCTTTCCGTTTATATGCGCATCAACTTGCACTAACTTCATAGCCATGCGATTTAAACTTAATGGTAAGTTTAAATCGCACTTTATGAAGATGAATTAAGCCAAAGTGGGTAAATGAGTGTTGTTGTTCGTCATTGATTTTGAAAATTGTATTTTAAAACTAGTTGACCCCGCGTACTTTGTACGGGTTAAAATGATTTGCAAGAAATGACGGACTCGAGTCTACCGTACCAAAAGGGACTCACGTCAAATGTTTGACAGGAAAGAAGATAGAACAGTTTATATGAAAATTAAATTGACGTTTTTACTCAATATTTCCATATTTACTCACCTTTTAAACCTTCCCTAGACCTCCACGAACATACCAAGATAAGGTAAATCCGTTCAGCCGTTCTCGAGTTTTAGCGAGACTGTCGAACAGCTATTGATTTTTATATATATATTTTAACTAGCAAACCCCGCGAACTCCGTTTCGCCACCAGATGGCTTCGTTTTATGTAACATTTCGTTTGGTGATTAAATTTTTTTTTTAATTTTTCCTGAATTTTATTTGCTACAAACCTCACGGAGCCCGAGACCTTTCCAACGAATGCAAAACCGTGGAAATCGGTTCGTGCGTTCTGGAGTTATAGCGTCAGGAAGGAAAACCTGACTTATTTTTATATAGTAGATATAACAATACCCTCTCTGCGAGCCGCGCTGCTTGCCTAAACCGACCCGACCTGACCTGACCCACCTACGCGGAGTAAAAAGAACTGACTGCATAAGTATTACTAAATTTTATTTTACTATACAAGCCTTGGCCACCACTAAGGATTGATAGACTTATGTATGTGGGCCGAGGCGAAGTTCATCTAATAATGCCTCCTTTGCTGGCCGCTGCAGTAATGCACTATGAAGGAAACAAACAAACACACACACACACATCAACACAATCACACATTCATAAACACACCACCAATATAAGTCACTCATACATATACGCTCACACTTAATCAAAATTGTTAAATTGTATTCGTTTCATTCAGTTGATTACTCATCACAAATAGCTGAAGTAAAACTTATTCACTTGTATTAAATTTTAAAATACAATTTTGCAATGTATCGACCGAGGAATCACTAACCCTGATAAGGGTTAGGGGTGCATTTCTTGAACTTTTTGTATGTATACCCTTTTTTTTTTGTGTCTGGGACATGCATTACGCGTCATTCAACCACTGGGGGAATGAGAAGAAGGTATGTGGGACTCCTCCCTGTCCACTTCAGCCACCCCTGGGGCTCACTGAATTGAACAGGGCTCTACCTACGCTCTGAACAGGGCCACTAATAACCAGACAATACTCCTGCACCGACACCCGACACACACTATGAGGACCGCGGTCCCCCTAGTGCGTGCCGAGAGGGCGGGTGTGGTCGCGGAACCCGTCTCCGAATGGCCGCACTCGTATGTATACACTACACTTAATTAAACTATTAGTTACCGAAAATATAAATGTTGGGTTATGAGTAAATGATGATGGTTATGATTATTATTACTATAACGTTGAAGACATACCGGTATACAGAACATCATGGCCAGTTTGAGATGTCGCCGCGTCGCCGCTGCAGCCGCGCGTCGTTGCGCGTACTCTGTGGCGCGGACGGACGCAGCCCAAGACAGGCGCGCGAGCAACGCCTCGCCCGCCATAGCCGCTGACATGACCCGCACCTAGTAAACGGATACGGATTAAAGCTATAAACGGGATTGTTACCATGTACCTTGTTGATGTGTAACATCTTTCCTCTCGCTTTCCTGCAATTTGTGGGAGTGATTTCGTGAAATGGGACGGAAGTGTGTAACAGGAAGTCGCGAAAGCGCGCGCTATTTGATTTGATTTTAGAATATAATGTCCAAATGGATTATTCCTTTTGTAGTAGGTTTTATACCTTTTTTACTAATATAAGGTAAGGTTTCAAATGTTACACATCATACGCGACTACTGTAAGGCTCGCTCGTTTTTATTTTTTTATGAGTCTCCGATATTTCAGCACTGTTGCAAGCGCCATGATCACGCAGTAACTCAAGTAATTGCGGGTAGATGTTATTGGCAGACATATCGGTCTACCCTCTGACGTCGTCTTTTATTGCGTTCGTAGCCCTACCACTGGTCACATTCTCACTATTCACTCACACTTGTTCCCGACACACAATAATCACAGTATCAGAAACAAACAGGATACGGGTTATGTTAACATAACGTTATTATGGCACATACAACGAAAGCTAGTTTTTTGTATGCACTGTCATTTCAGCAAAGAGTTTTTCTTACTCTATGGACACAGAACGGCCTACTGCAAGACCCACCTATAAGAGATAGCATTCGGACATAAAATTGCTCTAAATTTAAATACATTGTGTGTATTTTGAGCTCCGCATAGCTTCGCTTCTGTTCAAATGTAACCTTAAAGTATAGGGGCAACCTAAAATTCTAAGTACGTACCTATGTCATGTGAAGTGAAGTTTTTTTGAGGACTTTTAGTAAATGAAACCTTCACTTGCTCCTTTGAAACAGATTTTTTTATAAAATGCTGTCAGTAGCCATAGCCCATATCGTACAATAGGGAAGATGCAATATTTTTATTTTTGTTTTCATTTTAAAGAATTCCATGTAGAATAAACCACAGATATATTAAAAAATTAAAACATTGGGATTTATCGGTAAAAATGCGATTTTAAATTGACAATTTCAATTTTCGCGCGAAAACGAACCTATAGTTGCGATGACATCACTTCTGTCTGTCACTGGTCGTACTTGTTCGTCGCTGGCTTTAAATTTCCATACTTTTGCATATTTTTTCGACTTTCGAAATATTTTTTATAACAATACCACTAATATTCCGAAAAAAAGTCGTGTTGACTCGTTGACGTGATGTTTTGTGCCAATCTACTTCAACAAAGTTTCCAAATAAATGTTTTTGACTGGAACTTCTGACCCAAAACTGAAAAAAAAAGTGGTTTCAAGCTGCGAAGAGAAATAACAATTATTCTCCAAAGACCATTATTCGATGCTGTGAAGATCACTTTGACGTAAGTCGGCGAATATACTTGTTATATGGTTAATTAATCTGCTTGTACGTAAAAACGCATTAGTAACCTACCTAATACAAAACCTGTCTATAACATATTTTTAATTTTACAGTTGGAGAATGACGTCGAAAATTAGATAAACTTTAAAATATGTTGCACAATCTTCACATTGGCAGGACTGAACCAAGCTTTGCGTTTCATTTAAAATAACTGTAACACGATAACCTTCTTCACGTACTTTATGCTCTGGGGAACTCGACCTTTTACTGTACATAATTCTCCATCTCTTTTAATTTGGACATAGCCGATTGCATTATCGCCGTAAGATTTGTAGAAGCCGCTGAATAAAATACGAAGTTTAACAACTACGATTTTTACAGACCGTAGTAATTTAGTCCCTTTCATTTCTACACTTAAAAACTCTGCACTTTGGACAAAAAAAGTTATAACCATGTCAACACTTGGTAAATTCCTGGAGTCTGCTTTGATAAACGCAACTTCCATTTTTATTTAATATAAAAAACGCAATTAATATTCCCTTTATAATATTTACTTTAACAACCATAACCTCAAAGAAGTTGTCATAACAGGAGTGACGTCACTAAACGCTGATTGGTGTTTTAAAATACGTTCTGTTTCAAGTATTTTTAATTCGTAATAATTGTTAAAAAACAACATTATGTAAAATAGTAACGCTGCAGTGACATTTCTTTTATATTTTTTTAACATTTTAATCATAAAATTTTCATAAATATTAAATATGCATCTTCCCTATTATCGTTACTTAATAATTGTTCAAAAGAAACCGCACCAACCTTTGATGTTTGCCGCCCATAATTTTGCCGAATAACATTTAGAACCTACAGTTTGGCTGAACCAAAGTTAGTAATCATGTGACCTCTTAATTGGCGCATTAATTAAGAAAATAAACAACACAGTTGTAATTGTTTTGAAACATACCTCAGCAACTTTATTAAACCGCACTGCTCTTGGGGTGGCATCGTCACTATCGGTGGTCTCCCCCGCACGGACCGGTACAAATGTAGAGTCACCCTAAAACAAACCATCATGTTATTTCAACTTGATTCGTGTAGTACTGACAGGGCTGAAATTAAGGCAGGACTGTGGGTCAAGGGCCTCCATAAAAGAGGGGCCCCCACAGCAGAGATTAAACGAAACCAATTTTCGATATTTGACGATGCTTTCCCGATTTTTAATAATGAACAAATTTCTAAATTTCAGCAGTCCTCCGAAAAAATGTTGAAAATTAATCCTCACATTGCTTTGTATTTAATACGTTTTTGCGCTTTTGTCCCAAAATTCATATATTTTTTACGTAGTACTCATTTTTGGCTTTTTCCAGGACTACTGTCATCTATTGACAGTTTGCTCAGGGAGACACTTTCCAAAATTCTAAATTGTTCATTTTCTGATAACGCTTGGAAGCAGGCCTCTCTCCCTGTTCGTCTCGGAGGACTTGGTACTCGCCAAATTCCACATATTGTCCTTCCCGCTTTCCTGTCTTCTGCACATGCTACAGCTCTTTAATAAAATACTATGTCCTTCTTTAGGCGTAGTGGAGCTGGCTCACTTTGCAGAGGCCAGGAATGCTTGGTGTAGGGCATGCCCGGGAGTAGATCCACCATCCTCCTTATTTTCACAGAGGCAATGGGATGAGCCACTCTGTTTGCGTCTTCAGAGTGATCTTTTAGCTTCCTCTGAAAACGCAGCTGAGCGTGCTCGCCTCCTAGCGGTCTTTCAGTTATAGTCTGGTTATTGGCTGCCAGCACTTCCTTCAGCCAATATCGGGACTTTGCTTGACAGGAGCACTCTGTCATTAGCAATATCACTTAGACTCGGCGTCAAGACCAATCACCCCCATCGTTGTCGTTGCGGAACTCGCGTCGTTGAGTTAGGAACACCATGGTCTCTCATGCCTAATGAGCGCTGGTCCAGTCTCCCGCCACGCCTGCATCAATGACGTCATCCGCAGAGCTCTTGTCGCAGCTCTCAATGAGAACTATATATTTGTGCCGTTGGTGTTGAGACTATGGGACCATGGGGTCCAAGCGCTCGTTCCTCCTTTAGGGAATTGTTTAAGAGACTCACCGAGGCCACCGGTGATCAAAAGGCTGGCAGCTACCTTGGTCAACGGATTAGCCTTGCTATCCAACGAGGAAATGCTGCCAGCTTATTGGGCACCATTCCTGACAGCGGCGCTAGGGGTCATATATTTTTTATTTTGTAAATTGTATATTATATAGGTACTGAGTTATTTCTAGTTTTTGAGTTTTCAGACATTAAGTAGTTTTAAGCTTTTGTAATATTAAATATTTCTATGTAAATATAAATAAAAAAAGGGCTGAGAAAATTAAGTTGAAATTATGCATTTTCCCACGACATTATTTAAAAACGTTGGCGATCCATGAACATGCGATGACGTCACATGTCGGGACGCGGCCGTGGGTAGTTCTCGCATTTATTCATGGTGCTCTTCGGCATAATAACTTTTCAACGATTTATGCGCATATGTTTACAGTACAAAAAGATGAGGTATCTTGGGTTTTTAAACTTTGGCCGTAGGAGACAAAAATAACCATGAGTTATTTGATTATTACATCAAGTTAGTATCTGCATGGATATTATGGGTTCATGGTACCGGCCGGTGAATATCAACTACATACACGATACCAACGCACACGATGATTTCATTAACTGGCTTTGAATTTATAGGAACGGGAATTTATAAAATGCACATTCTACTACAACGGATAATAAAAATTTGTTACAAATATATACAAACCAATAAAGACACATAATTTTGACCAGATTAAGTCATACTGATAGTCATGCTTTACTTTCGAGTTTCGCGATTTTTATTACTGGTTCTGGTATAAAGGTGCGCTGCCGCGGGCGATCCCATCGCGTCATCCCGTCAAATGACGTAAGCGCAGGGAGCGCGCGAAATCTCGGCAATTTAAAAAATAAAGGTTTTAAATTTTTCGCAGCCATTACTTCGTTATTACTGCGTGAAATAATAACTATTATAACATACGTAGTCTTTACTTTGATGTTAGTTATCTCCATTGTTTCATTTTTTTGTTCAATTTTCTGTGTTAAAGCTGTCAATGGTGTCGATTCTGACATGATTCTCTAAACCTAAACTTAAATTTGACATCAGTCTGTCCTTTTCAGTCTGTATAGAGAATGACAGAGATAAACTGTTGTCAAATTTAAGTTCAGCTTTAGAGAATCATGCCAGAATCGACACCAATGCCAAACAAAAAGGATGGGTGTGTTTCAGACATTGAAAATTTATGCGTTTCGTTTCACCCAAACTGTAATAACTACTGTAAAAATGTAAAAATATTGGAAAAGTACGAATCTATATATCAACCATATCGTAATGTTTAAAATAACGAATGATCTTAAAAACTTACGATAATCATCAATATCCAGTGGATTTCACCTTAGTTGTAGCGACCATTTACCTGACTGAATGACGTTAAATCTAAGTCCCTTGAATTTAAAGCATACTTTAGTACAAAATTCATGTGGCTATAGCGGCTTTGGATGTAACGCCGAGTTCCGGTGTAGTGACTGTTTTTAATGAATCATTTGTAAAAATTCCTAGAAATCCCATGCAGATATTGCGACTAGAGTCAGCAGTCAGGCCAAAAAGTTTTTTTTTCACAAGCATTTCTTATCCTTTATTAACATCCATACAGTTTATAGATATCAGCTAAGTAGGTAGGGAAGGCGGAATACATATCGGAGTTAAAGTTGAATTACAGTTAAGTACTTACTAAACTATTTGTAGTCTCATTAAAATAATGTTCATCATCTGTTTCTGCCACAGGTTCTGTGAGTTGCTGAAATACAATTTTATAAATTTCAATCTGTAATTATAATGTACAAAGAAATTATAGCGGGATAAATATAATGACAAACTTCTGAAGGTGTCATTCAATGTCATAATCTGTACTAAGGGAGAAAGGCAAACAGTAACTTTCCTACATCCAGGGCTAGATTTAGGGCAGGACAGGCAGGGCTGGGTGGCTCGGTAGGGGCCTCCATTCTTTTGTCGCGGTTATGAGCACAGTGTCTAAAATGAAACATTCCACTGCTGCAGAAATGCCTAAGATATCAATTGATTTAAAAGCAGTTTGCCCACCTAGGAATGCCAAGACATTATAATTGCCTAAATGTTATTTAGTCTATAAATTGAAATGCCTAATGCATTATGTCTCTTTAATGCTTATAATGAGCAAGTTTGTTTCGAAAGTCTTGTTGTAAAGGGTTGTTGGGATTCAATAGTCTCACTTAAAATTTATAAATTAGTTTTTGACCTTATAAACATATGGAAAAGTTATAAGATAGTCCTGAAATGGAAACTGAGATACAGTGAAAGACAACCTAATCAGAGGCCTTTTATTTCTCTCTTTAACTAAACAAAAATCATGTGACACTTTTAACATGGTACATGCTCCAGTTTTTAGTTATATTTGTATTTTTATGGAGTATTTAAGGGTTTTTTTAAATTATTTATTAATATTTAAAGATTTCAAATTGAAGGTTGCCAGCAAACATTATAGTCACAATACATTGTGGGCAATCTGTTTCTTCGTCAATTAGCATTTTAGGTATTATTGGAGTAGTGGTATCTTCCATCTAGGCAGTCTGCTGTTTAGTCAAAATGACATGTTAGGCATTATTGCAGCAGTGGCATCATGCATTTCAGGCATTTTGCTCATAACCACTTCATTGCCCACTCCTTCATGGCCCCGGGACTCCACACCTCTAAGTCTAGCCCTGCTTACGTACATATATACTAGTAAAATTCTATGAGCAGAGAAGTTTTGTAATTTTTACCAACAGCTCTCCACAAGCTGCCCTGCATTAACTGGTTGCACTGGGAATCCAGTGGGCAATGGGGTTATCATTTGCAAATGCCTATTTTTGATGATTAACATAATCAATGGTGTAGATTTAGTTTAAAAAAAACTTTTCTATATTATAGCTATTTCGATTCAAGAAATTACAGTATTATGTCTGAAATAGATCAATACAATATGCAACCAACATGTAGTGCAGCCCTATTTATTTTTTCTTTATTTTCCCTCACATGCAAATCCCATATTTGCCGAGTTTTTACTATGTTTATGGATATAAAGGAAACAATACAAATCTTATCTGTTCTAATATTTGGTACTCACTGTGTAATCTGCTGGTCGACAAGGGTCTCTTGTTGGTGGTTGAAAGCACAAAAATATCAAATAAATAAATAGGAAAGAGCTTCTCACATACGTAACTAGAAAAGGTCTTTCTAGTTTCTTTTCCGTATATATGTACTGAAAATAGGAATTAGAACAACTAAATGAAATATATTGTAAACATAATAAAAAAAAATAAAAATCTTGCCATTTTACCTTTGTTAACTCTGAAGATAAGACCCATAGAACAACAACTATTAATAAAATGAACACACCAAAGGCGAATTTTCTTTTGCTGTTATGTTGGTTACCATCTTTATTGTTTTTATTATTATGGAAAACACGAAAATAGTTATGGCATAAAGTCAACATGAAGATGATTGAAAGGGCCTAGGAAAAGCTGATTAAATGTGTATAAATTCAAATGTCATCGTGATGAGGCTTTACCAAAACCCTATTTTAAATTCATATATATTTCAATATCAACAACATAATATAAAACAATTTTTAATAATTAAATTGCGGAGTAAATTAATTTCCCTTCAACTCAACTTCAACAACCTTCAATCGTGCCTTCAATCCACAGGACAGACAGTCACAGACCATTACGAGAACAAGTTCAGTTTAGTTCAGACTAGAGCTGTAGCAAACCGTATGTATTCGGTACTGAGTAACGGGTGCGCCATCTAGTACCGAGTAACGAAACGTTACACACAAATAAATTTCGTTACTCGCATTTTTCGTAGTATGACTATCTATATGTTTTAGGGATGTCGAAAGTTGAAAAAAATATAGATACATCGATATTTTAAAAAATATCAATATCGGCTTCGATATCTCACGAAAAAAACATCGACATATCGGACCAATTTTCCCAAAATTATATTTAGGTCAGCCTAGCACATTAATAATAACAATACAAATTATAATTAAAGAAAGAATTATCAAAGTACCCAACTGCCGATACACTACATGACAGTACGGTAGCTCACGAAATATGGCACGCGGAATAATAATGAAACGAAAATTATCTCCCTAAAAGTAGACCCGTTTTTTGAATGTAGAAAATGATTGCAGGGCCTCTCAGGTGTCATCTTTCATAAACAAGACTAGACAGTCACACACTTCCACAGAATATAATGGAATTCAGCGCAACCAATAGGCTAGTTGACCCTTTTTGGAAAAAGGTTTTAAATGGTTAATAAATGTTCTATTAGACCGAAAAAAATGTATTGTATTTTTTTTAAACCTAGAAAGCTACAAATCTTTAATTTTAAAATAGACTTTTCATGGACATACAAAAACGCTGTCGGCCATTTTAGTCTATAGATTATCTATGCTATGACGTGAACTGTGGTAAACAAAAACTCGTAAACACGTAGAAAATTACTTTTAACTGCGTTTATAATAAAAAAAAAAAACATGATTTCAAAAAATACCACGATAAGTAAAGTAATTATCTGTACTGTATTGTACGAGAATATAAAAACACATCCTTGAAGACTCCAGGAAAGTTGTGGATTAAAGTGCCGAAAGAAATTAAACTGCGCAACATTATTACACTTATTCATATGTTGTATCAGTTTTATGTTTATTACTACATTGTAATACTAAATGCACTGTACTTACATAGATGCCTTGTCGTTACTCTGCTCCGCAGAGCAGAAATCGGGGCTTAGTGCAACAAATTCACCAACCATCAATGCGTCAATTCTTGGCAGATTTGTGCTTTCTGCTTTCACAAAGTCGGCATCCATAATTAGTTTAGTCAAAAAAAACTAAGTTTACTGAAGAAAATATAACTAGAAAAAATTCCACGCGGACCAGGCAGCAGACGGGACTCGAACCCGCACCCTTCGCAATCCGGGCGAATGCACTGACCAATTATGCTACCGCGGCCCTCACGGACCGCGTCGAAATTCTTTCTAGCTATTCTTAAGCTGCAAGGCAGCGCCATCTCTTCGCATTATAGGTAAACCCACAATGTCAAATGAATACTTTTACAAGTATTAAACATTTGAAAGAAGAAATAGCAATTATAGTTATAATTTTTATTATTTTTAAAGCATGTAACTGCTTGATGTTTAAATCTAAAGAAAATATAACTAGAAAAAATTCCACGCGGGTTCGAGTCCCGTCTGCTGCCTGGTCCGTATTGCTATTTCTTCTTTCAAATGTTTAATACTTGTAAAAGTATTCATTTGACATTGTGGGTTTACCTATAATGCGAAGAGATGGCGCTGCCTTGCAGCTTAAGAATAGCTAGAAAGAATTTCGACGCGGTCCGTGAGGGCCGCGGTAGCATAATTGGTCAGTGCATTCGCCCGGATTGCGAAGGGTGCGGGTTCGAGTCCCGTCTGCTGCCTGGTCCGCGTGGAATTTTTTCTAGTTATATTTTCTTTAGATTTAAACATCAAGCAGTTACATGCTTTAAAAATAATAAAAATTATAACTATAATTGCTATTTCTTCTTTCAAATGTTTAATACTTGTAAAAGTATTCATTTGACATTGTGGGTTTACCTATAATGCGAAGAGATGGCGCTGCCTTGCAGCTTAAGAATAGCTAGAAAGAATTTCGACGCGGTCCGTGAGGGCCGCGGTAGCATAATTGGTCAGTGCATTCGCCCGGATTGCGAAGGGTGCGGGTTCGAGTCCCGTCTGCTGCCTGGTCCGCGTGGAATTTTTTCTAGTTATATTTTCTTTAGATTTAAACATCAAGCAGTTACATGCTTTAAAAATAATAAAAATTATAACTATAATTGCTATTTCTTCTTTCAAATGTTTAATACTTGTAAAAGTATTCATTTGACATTGTGGGTTTACCTATAATGCGAAGAGATGGCGCTGCCTTGCAGCTTAAGAATAGCTAGAAAGAATTTCGACGCGGTCCGTGAGGGCCGCGGTAGCATAATTGGTCAGTGCATTCGCCCGGATTGCGAAGGGTGCGGGTTCGAGTCCCGTCTGCTGCCTGGTCCGCGTGGAATTTTTTCTAGTTATATTTTCTTTAGATTTAAACATCAAGCAGTTACATGCTTTAAAAATAATAAAAATTATAACTAAGTTTACTGTTTTTTCTTTCCTAAAGTTAAAAGTGTTTTAAGATAAATTTTGTCAGACGAAAGAATCCACCTACAGTAACACGCGAATGACATTTAGTTGTTTACCACAAGAGACGTCAAAATCATGGCGGATGTGGCGAACAGCGTTTTTAGTGTTTAGAAATATAGACTAAAAAATATTTTTTAAAATTAAATTTCTACAGCAATCTTCTGCTTTTATGAAGTGAAATCGATATATTAAGGTTCCTTAGACTAAACACTTTAAGAAATAAACATTTATTTAATACAATTCGACATGAGTAAACTAGCCTATTCACCAGCGAAACAGCTTTAGGGTGCGGCCAGAGTGCACTCAGATTCAGATTTCGAAAACAAGCGCGAGAAATAAACAGTGTAGTCTAAGCAGGTTGCCTGCTTTTTCTCGCGCTTTGTTTTCTGAGTCTGAATCTGAATCTGAATCAGGAGTGCACTCTGGCCGTACCCTTCGACTACACTGTTTATTTCTCGCGTTTGTTTTCGGAATCTGAATCTGAATCTGAGTGCAAAGCAAGCAACCTGCTTAGACTACACTGTTTATTTCTCGCGCTTGTTTTCAGAATCTGAATCTGAATCTGAATCAGGAGTGCACTCTGGCCGTACCCTTCGACTAGACTGTTTATTTCTCGCGCTTGTTTTCGGAATCTGAATCTGAATCTGAATCGGAGTGCACTCTGGCCGCACCCGTACCCTTACAAATAATAGACAATACTAAATACAGCACAGATCATAGATATGTTGAATATCATTAATCTGAGATCCAGTTCCGATTTTTCCAGATACGAATTTAGTTAGATCGTGATATGCCGCTAATAATTAAAAAAATATCGTTTTTGATACGAATTTCGTTATTGGTTATTTTGTATCGATGTAGCGATATATCGAATTAAAATATATCAGCCAAAAATATCGATATATCGAACAAAAAATATCTATATATCGATATATTTTCAACAAGCCTGCCTTATAATTGATGTGTGTATAGAAACATTTGCTGATCGTATGTTTTAAGCATGCGCGAGCATATTCGGAGAATTCAAAAACGTACGTTGGAGTTTTTGGCGGGATTTCATCGACTGCGGTTAGCGCATTATTTTAATTATTCTTAAATTCGTTCATAGTGGATATTGTGAAATAAAATTGGTGTGATTTTGTGTTACAACCGTCTTTATTATGTATTATAAGAGTGCTGCCGGTTAAAGGGTTAATTATTCAAAAACTTGCAAGATGGCTGTATGTTTGGATACCTTCGCCCCTCTTTAATAAAAAAATTACGTTTGTTTGTAATCTTTGAATAAAAAGATTTTTACCATCGAATTACCTGATTTTACTGATAAGAGATTGTTAAATTATAATATGTATCTTTTTCAAAAAAACGATGCCGATAAGATCGATTTTTCAGAAATGGCGATCGCATCAGGTCGCGATTCAAATCGATTTAAAAATCGATCTTTTTCGGAAAGAATTCTATCCCTAATTTTCTCTTTAATTTATGTATTTTTTTAAATTATTCATGACCATGGGTACAAGTCCTTCACTCGTATACATAAATACAAATCTTTAATCTTCTTTTTTATTTACATTAGAATGTCGGTGTGACGCAATCTAATGTTTCTTGGAGTGTTTGGCACGAAATTTATCGAGTGGTTTTTTCGGTAAGCTTCGGAATAAAGTTCTCACGTCTACTTGACCGGAATAGCGTACATTTTAAAGATTCCACTAATTTTTCAGTTGCACAGATGGTTATAACACAAAATCACACCAATTTTTTTTAAATAAGGCGCCTTGCGCACTCGATGAAATCCCGCCAAAAACTCCCTATAATCTGTGTTTCATTCAGGGCTGCCAGAAGGCATTTACTGATTTCCGCCAGATTGAAAATTATTTTACGATAAAATGATTCCTCAGAATAAAATACCGACAGAATATAGAGGTTGGCAGCTACCTTGGTCAACCGGTTAGCCTTGCTATTAAACGTGGAAATGCTGCCAGCCTATTGGGCACCATTCCTGACAACAGCGCGGGGGGTGATATATTTTTTATTTTTTAGGTTGTAAATTATTAAAGTAGTTAATTCTTTTTAAGTTTTTAGACTATAATTAGTTTTGAGCTTTTGTAATTTAAATATTAATATGCAAATATAATAAACAAATCAACTTTTCTTCTATTTCCTTTAATAGGGGTTTGACTATATATTTTTAATGAATTTATTTGTGGGTGTGTGTTTGCGGGTATGTGTCTGTGTCATCATTATTCCATTTTTATTTTAAAGATTTTCAGTTTTATTGTATATTTGCTTTAGTAGCCACTCTTTTATTTTCTTTGATTGATTGATTGATATTAAGAATTTTGTTAATTCTGTTATAAATAAATTCTAGAAAGACTTTTGTCTCTTAGCAAAATTGGTTTGACAGTGAATCGTTCAATAAATGAATGAATGTAAATGTTACCCTGTGGCATAAAAATTTCGCCTTGCAATAGAACTTCGCGCACAACGTGTCATTAAAAATGT